CAGGCAGAGAGAGAATAAATTTCGAAACAATATATAAATTGTAAATTTTTATCAATAATTTGATAAAATACGAAGTTCATTTCTTCTTTTTGGAGCTCAAATTTAATTTCACATGTCAAATTGCTATAAATGTTAAAATTTTAAGATTTTTTTTTTTTAAATTGATGCTATGATGATGAAAAATTTGCATCAAATACTATTTAAAAGCCACAAAAGAAAAAAAAAAGAAAACAAAAACAAAGAATGATGGAAGGAAAGATTATTTTAATTTAGGAGAAATGAAAATGACATTCTGTTGCAAAAGTTTTTAGAGGAAATTACGGTAGTAAAAAAAAAAAATTAATGGAAGAGGTAGAGAGTGTGAGGATGTAAAGGAGGATTAGGAGGAGGAGGGAGAAGGAGGAGGAGGAAGTGGAGGAGGAAGAGAAGGAGAAGAAGGAGGAGGAGGAGAAGGGAGAACGAGGTATATGGTATATAACAGGATTTTCAGGAATGTTGCCGAAACCTCATTTTTCAGAAACTTTTCATCAACATACAGACATATATATATATATATATATATACATATATATATATATATATTTGAAAATACATACTAGCAGATGGACACTTGTATATGTATATATATATACTTATATATACATACATATATAAATACATACATACATACATACATACATACACATACATTCACATACATACATACACGAAATGAGTTTCAACAGAATTTTTAAGTGTAAATTACGGTAGTTTCGCAGATTTTAAGTAGAAGATTGATACATCCCAGTTGTGTCTTCTCCGTGAATGTAACGTTAATTACGCTAATAGAAGTAGAAAGTAATAGTGATAACAAGTAATAGTGGTAGTACTGATGATGATAATAATATCAGTTCCCATATTTGATAAAAAAGACTGATAACAATAATATAATATTGGTACAAATAACGAAAGTAACAGTAGGGCAATTTTGATATTATTAATAATAATAATATGATAATATGTTAGTTATTACTGTACCAATGATATATAACTAAAACAAATAGTTGCAACAAATTATTATAATATTTTTATCAAAAAATAAATAACACAATTAAAACAAATTATAAAATGATTATCATTAGTGATATCTTTCCTTCAAAATTATGGTATATATTATGGAAGAGATAATGAACTAATTGTCATCTCTCTCTCTCTCTCTCTCTTTCATCCCTTTTTTTTCCTTTCCATTATTATCCCGGTATCACCCTTTGGTATTTCTTATACTCATTTATGATTTTCACCAGCGTTCCTCTCTATTAAACCAATAATTTATCCTTATCTATATCACTGTTTAAAATATTGTATTATTATTATTATTATTATCATCATCAATTTTCGATCAAGCTGAACGGAACGATTGATTTAACTTTTTATTATAATTTCTCTTTTTTTTTTCTTAAATTTTTTCCTTTCATTATACTTCCAAATAATTTATATTATTTCAATCATTTTTTCTGTTTTAAAATATTATACACAACAACAATGATTGTAATAATGATGAATACTGATAAGACGAAGTAATAATGATAGTCATCCGATGCTAACAGTTTAATAAAATATAAAAGCAAAACAAAAACGGAAATTATTATGATAATATGATAAAAACTGAATAATGAAACGATGAGATTGTTAGAATGAAGTAATTCTATTAACTACGATAACAATATTTACAAATGTAATGCTGACAACAATAAAGATGATGATAAAGATGTAACGATAATAGCGATAATAATAATAAGAAGAACAATAACCTCGACAAAACTTCTAAACTTCATTAAATTATTGAAAACTTTGTTCAATTTCATAAAATAGGAATGACGACTGATATTTGTAGGGTAAGCGATATTAAACGAACACTTGTGCAATCGAGACGAGTTGCTTAGAATTTTTTCCTTTCTTTTTTTTTGAATTTTAAAACAATTTGCTACTGCTCCTCCCAATGTTAATCATACCAACAGCAAAAAATCTTTAAATATTTTTTACAGCAGTAATAAGCACACAGTGAGAACAATAACAATAACAATAACAATAACAATAATAATAATAATAACAATAATAATAACAATAACAATAATAATAATAATAATAATAGTAATAATAATAATAATAATAAATTTTTTCGTCATATTTTCGTGTAGGTTTTCGGCATATGAATTATTCGATTGGTAATGAAAGTAACACATTGTTGTGCTAAAGCAAATTAAAAAAAATATAATTTCAATAATATTTTATATGCAAAGTAGTAAATTTGCATATGTATTCATATT